CCTCCTCGCAGGGGCCGGGACGCAGGCCTGCCACCGCCGGTGGGTTCCCTGGCTGCCCGGGGCCCCACATAGCCCAGTCCTGCACCACCTCGCCAACCTCCACGACCATCGCCTCCACTGCTTCTCTGCGGAGGTCCCCTGCATGTCCCCACGGCTCCTGGGCCTGGGCCCCGTCCCCGCCGCCCTCTCCGTGCCCATCTAGCTTCAGTCTCTTCCCAGCTCCTCCCTGCGCAGACTCCTCCAACCCTCTGGGCCGTGACCGCTTTGTCCCCTGTTCAACCTGGCACCCCAGTGCGTCCCGCAGCACTTGGACCATGGCAATGCTCAGCTGGGGGAAGGGCACCACCGGCAGGGGGATCGGAGTGGCCGCCAGCAGCGAGGTAGGGGAGCTTGGCTGCAACAGCGGCAGCAGCCCCCAGTCCCGGCCACGGGCAGAGCGGCGCTGATACTGCAGGCTCCGGCAGTAACTGGCTGCAGCCCGACAGCAATTCTGCAGCCTCCCAGCCACTCGACCGGTCACGTTGGCAGCCACGTTGTGACTCAGCTCAAAGGGATCCTGGAGATTCATGGGGCCTAGACGCAGACCCTCCCAGAGTATGGCAGGCTGTGCCCCAGCCACAGGCAGCGCCCTGCCCTCCCGAAGGGATAGCAGAGAGCCATGGAGGTCCCAGCAGGAGACACAGGAGAAGAACTGGGCCAGCAGAGCACCTGGAGGAGGAAGCAAGGTGGGGATGGGGGTCACTACAGAGCCACTTTCTCCCCCCGCAGAGGCTCCTTCCAGCCCAGCAGACAAGACACAGCAGCCCCTCCCCTCGTCCAGTGCCCTGGCCGGCGCATCAACCAGGTCACAGTTTCTATCTCTGCAATGCCATGCTAAACTTGGTACCCAGGGGATGCTCTGGGAACTCCCAGCCAAGGAGTCTGACTGCCACATCTTCCTCACCATCTGCGCCCAATGCCCACTCACCCAGGGGCTCCACGTTGGTGCTGGGCTCCAGGCTTGAGGCATCCCTGGGGAAACTGCAGTCCCAGCCATCCACTTCTACCTGCTCCCCCTCACCTGTAAGGTGAGAACAGAGGAGGGATGAGCTTGCGGGGAGGGGAGCAGTGAGGTGTGAGCACAGACGGCATCCCAGGGTGGCTGGCATCCCTCAGTACCTGCTTTCTGGGTGAGCTGGGCCACCGTGGGCAACACAGGGGGGTCCCGGGTCTGCAGGAAGTAGACCACGAGCAGGGTCAGAGCATAGTTGTTGAGGAGGGGGCCGCTCCCTGAGTAAGCAAGGAAGAATCCCTTTAGACAGCTCCTATCCCACTGCCGTCTGGCCTCGCCCCTGAACCCAGTGCCCTCTCCGACACCAGCTCCGGCCAAGTCTGTCCTGATCTGCTCTCACCTGTCAGCCCTCGGCCCTGTGCCCAGCAGCGGACAGTGTACACGAGGGGTCGGACTCGCACATCCAGCTCAGAGCACAGGCTCAGGAATTGGGAGTTGTGCAGGGCCAACCTGGGGCAGAGGAAAGATGGGAACCACTCAGCCACCTGCTCTGTCCAGACTCAGAGAAGACAAGCGCCTGAGTGCTGCTACAGCCTAGTTTTGAGACAGAACTATCAAATGAGGACTGGGGTGCAGCTCCACAGTACAACACTGCCTAGCATGCAACCCTGGGTTTAATCCCCCAAACAAAAACAACAGAGAGCCAGGGGGATTGTGGGTTTCGCGCAGTGGTGGAGCACTTGCTTTAACTTGTGAGGCCCTGGATTCAATCCCCAGCACCACAAAAAAACTGCTGGTTATAGTGGGGCACATCTGTAATTCTCACACTCTGGGCGGCCAAAGCAGGAGAATCACAAGTTTCAGCCTAGCCTGGGCAATTTAGCAACTTGGTGAGCCATCTCAAAAAGGACTTGGTGGGACTGGGGTCTGTGGTGCCACCACCTGCCTGGAAAGCACAAGGTCCCAAGTTCAATCCCTGGTACCAAAAAAAGGTGGGGGGTTTGGAAACGTGGCTCCATGTGAAGGCCCTCGGTTCCATCTGCAGCACCACAAAAGAAGGACAAGGAAAAACTACTTGGAACTTGTGATACCCAACAAAACAAAGCCTGAAAGGGCTGGGAAAACGGAGGACAGGTTCGCATTTCATTTAGTATCCCCCAGACCAACACAGCCACAGGACCCTTACACACCCCCTACAGCTAACATTACAAGGCACATCTCCCACACAGCAAAGCTCCACAGATGAGACATGGGTACCAGAGGGGCCTAGGACCAGCCCGGCAGAACCAGACAGCCTCCCAGGCCCGGACTCTTCCCCACCTCACCCACCAAGGTACCGGTTACCGAGGGAGACGTCACCATGAAGCCCGGAGGGCCGATGGCAGAACTTCACCACAGGACGCCGGGCCGAGGGCACGCTGTGGACGCGGTAAACACCAGGGACACAGCGCCGCAGGATGGAGCCCACCAGCTCCAGCATGGCCGCTCCCGCCGGCTTCTCGCCACCCAAGGCCTCTGCCACACCCAGGGCCTTCCCGGGGTCCCCCTCACCCCTATCCTCCTGCAGTGGTGAGGCTGGAGGCAGGGACTGAGGAGAGGCTAGGGCAGAGTCTGGCGTCTGGGGTGCTAGGAAGGAGGACAGAGTCTCGAAGACCAGGGCCTCAGAGTCTTGGGGAGACGTTGGGGGCCGCGAGTCCACAGGAGAGGCTGGGGTGCAGGCTTGAGGATCCGAGGGTGAGGCTAGGGCTGAGTCCAAGGACGGAGACTTTGGAGACTTCTGGACCTGCTGTGGATGGGAATGAGCCACGTGAGTCCTCTTTCACTGTCCCCAAACCGGGGACAACTGTGTCCCCTAGACCGCATCTGTTACTGCCAGACCCTGTTCTACGAGCTTTCAATGAAGTAACTCCTTCCATCCTCACAGCAACCCTTTTTTAAAATTTTATTGTAACCCATTCCCCGCTCAAGCCCCCTACCCTCCCTACATACAAAAGCTTTGTTTCGTTTTCCTTGTATTTTCACTTTTTCTCTCATCCCTTCTTCCTTTCCCCCTCCTACCTTGTTCCCCTTCCCATTTGAACACTTTCTTCCTATTTCCCAACATCTATTATACATCACAGCCCTTATTTCCACTTTCAGTTTCTCACACTAGAGAAAATATGCTGTATTTAAACACGTGTCTGATTTATTTCACTTTAGTGTGGTCTCAAGGTGCACCCATTCAGCTAGAAATGTCTGAAGCTCATCCTTCTTTATGGCAGAGTAGTACCCCACTGTATAAAAAAAAATCTTTTTTTCAGGTCGGGTACCAGGGATCAAACTCAGGACCTTCCACTTGAGAGGCAGGCAGAGTCCCACTGAGCTACATCCCTGGCTCAAAAAACACAACTTTATCCATTTGTCAGTTGATGTATATTTGGGCTGTTTCCAAGATTTAGCTACTACAAACTATGCTGCTAGAATCATGGGTGAGCATATATCGCTTACAGCGGCCCTTTCTTAAAATCAAAATAATCTTTCAACTCCATAAAATAAATGTGCCAGCCAATCACAGTGGCAGCTGTGATCTCAGGAGTCAGGACATTGAGGCAAAAGGATCACAAGTTCAAGGGCCTGGACTATATGAGACCCTAACTCAAAAAACAAAATACTCCTACACTCTGCCATTAACCTGAGAGACAAAACCAGAGGAATTGTTCCAGGACAAAGACTGAAAAGGTAACCCAAGGTGCACTGTCATGACGGCCGATGATGAACATGCCTGGGCTTCCCCATTTGCTATACGCACCAGGGCTACACACTGGAACCCTTTTGTTGTTAGGTCATATGCCTTAAAATATTAAGGGGCAGAGGCGCACATGTATGTAACCTCTTTGTTTTTTGAGACAGGGTCTCACTATGTAGTTGAGACTGAACTGGAACTCACTATGAAGCCCAGGCTGATCTCAAACTCACAGTGATCCTCCTGCCTCAGCCTCCCGAGTGCTGGGATTACAGGTGTGCGCCACCACGCCCAGCATAAATCTGCTCTTTTTTCCTGTCAACCTACCACCTACCTGTCCCCATGTCAGTCCACCGGCACCTTGACACCCACCCCCTTCAATTTCTTCAGGATCTCGACCTTTGCAGGTGGGGCCCACAGCTCCGAGGTGGAACCAAGGCACAGAGAGGCAGGGTGGTCACCCACAGGTCCAGCTGCCTCTCCTCACTTACCTGGGGCTCATCCAGCTCCTGCAGATCCAGAAAGAGGTCAAGATCACAGCCGTGGACATCAAAGCTATTTGTGGAAGAGCCAAAAGGGTGGACTGCACAGCCTAGGGGCCAGGAGAGCAAAGGTCAGGGCTATCTAGAAGGGCACTGGACACCAGCGGAGGACAAGCCGGCCAACACTCACCAGGGAAGAACTCTGTGAAGACTTCCTGCATCAGGGCCACCACCAGGCACCGTAGCTGCCGCTCCGCCTCAGACAGTTCCCGCAGTGCCACCAGCTTCATCATCTGTGTGCCCACATCTGGGGCCACAGCCAGCGTACTGAGCAGCTGGTCACTGTCCTCGGGGGCTGCACCACGGGGGGCCCTGGAGGCCGGGCTCTGGAACACCTTCTGCTCGCGAGGCCGCACACGCAGGCGCTGTCCTCGAAGGCTGTGCTGGGGCTGGGCCAGGGCAGCGTCCCGGGAGCCCATGTCCCCCATCTCCACAATGGCAAACACTCCCTGTAAACCCACAGGACCTCATGAGGGCTCTGCAGCTGAGAATCTCCACCTTCTTTTTTTTGAGGCAGGGTCTCTCACTATGTAGTTGAGACTGACCTGGAACTCGCTATGTAGCCCAGGCTGGTCTGGAACTCACAGCATCCTCCTGCCTCAGCCTCCCAAGTGCTGGGATTACAGGTGTGAACCACCACGCCCGGCTCCACCTTCTTACTGATGAGTTTCCCCAAGGCAAGGCGATGGAGATTAAATGAGAAAATGTTAGCGCACAATTGGTGGACAGTAATTAATAAACACTTTAGCTAGGCAAGGTGGCACAGGCCTGCAGTCCCACCCCACCACTCCAGAGGTTGAGGTAAGAGGATTGTAAATTCAAGGCCAGCCTGAATTATATAGCAATTTCAAGGCCACCCTCAACTACACAGTGAGATTCTGGCTCAAAAAAAAAAAAAAAAAAAAAAAAAAAAAAAAAAACACCAAGAGGAGGGTTGGGATTTAGCAGCATAGTGCCTGTCTGAGTTTGATGCCCGGTACCAAGAGGAATAAACAAGAGGAATAAAACACAGTAAAAGATCATTCTTTGCAAATGAGGTAAATATAAGTCAAAATGGGATCATTGGGTTTTCTGAAGAAGCTGGGGCAGACACTGCCAAATGTCCACCTACTATATATTATAACCTCAATTGTGTTCAGAGAAGCACAATGCCCAACTGAAAAAACTTAATTTCCCAGGTTTGCCTGCAGTGGGAGATCACCATGTGGTAGAATTCTGGCCAGTGAGACAGAAGTCCAAGCCTGCTGAACAGGCCTCTGCAAAGTGTTTTCCTCTGAAATGAAGGAGGAAAGCAGTCAGACTCAGAAGTCATTGGCCTATTACATGCTCTCAACTGGAGCTGTGGAAATAGGAGCATCACAAGTATGAATGAGGGCTGCATGCTCAGAATGACAGAGAGGAAAACAGCTGGACCCTGGGCGACCTGGGCTGAGCTTCTTGTCAGATGGAAAAAAAAACAACAAATTTTTCATTCAAACTGTAATTCAGTCACTCAATGAAAGCCCTAACAAAGTCAGATCCCACTCCATTCTGAAACAAGCTCTGCTCTGCTGAGGAACTGGCTTTTCCCCCTGCAGTACTGGGGGTGGAACCCAGAGGCTACACATGCCAGGCCAGGGATCACCCTCCCTTGTGAAGTCTGGGACCTCTAAGCCACCTGAATGTCCCATGTGCACTCAGAAGCAGAGGATGATCCAACAGTATAGCACTACATGAATGAACTTGTTTCAAGGAACTAAAGGGACAGTTTAAAAAGTTCTACATGAAAACAAGATAGAACTACCAAGAATGAGCTTGTCTTCCTATCAGGGTGTTCTGACCAATAACCTCCAATAGTTCTTGGTGTAGTCAATAAACTCCCAACTGCTTTATCAAGCAATTTCTTGGGGAATGCTCCTCCAATGGTATGTTGATTTTTTGGTTCTTTTTTTTTTTTGGTACTGGGGATTGAACTCAGGTCCTTGCACTTGCAAGGCAGGCCACCGAACTGCTGAGCTAAATCCCTGGCCCCTTTTTTTGTTTTGTTTTTGGTTCTTGGTTTTTGAAAACAGGGTCTCTATTGTAGTTCAGCCTGGACCTGAATTAACTATGTATCCCAGGCTGGCCTCACAGTCACAGCAACACTCCTGCCTCAGCTTCCCAAGTGCTAGGATCTCAGGTATATGCCACCATGCCTGGCAGTATGTTCTTTTTTTCTTTTTGGTACCATGGATCGAACTCAGGTCCTTGTGCTTGCCAGGCAGGCGGCAGAACCACTGAGCTAAATCCCTGGCCTAGCAGTATGTTCTTTAAGCACCATCCACTAGAATTAGTCACATAACTGTCCACCGTCTCCTGTGGTCTATTGGGGGGGTTGAGACCAGGTCTCCCTATGTAGCCTATGCTGGCCTTAAATCACTACGTAGCCCAGGTTGGCCTTGAACTCTGGATCATCTTCCTGCCTCAGCCTCCCAAGTGTTGGGATCACAGGTATGTATCACCGTGCCCAACTTCTCCTGTAGCCTGTAAACCATGCATGCAAGGATCCATCTATCTCCCTCACTACTTAGGATACAGCTCTAATATTTAATACAAAGGTAGCAGTGAATAAACATTTGGCCAGCAAATAGAAGACAGTCAATAAATAAATGACCAGTCCCTCAGGATTACCTTTCAGATTGGATAAAACCCAGCAAGGTGGGAGTGTTGTGAGCTTATGGAGCTGGGCTATCCTAAGTCCTGTGGTGTCTTCAAGGCCAGGCCACACTCAGAACTAGGCAGAACAAGCTGCTGCTTGTCCCTTTTGTCCTGATTCACTCCTTACCCCACAGCCATCCACTCTACCTTGTCTTTATCCATGACCACACTGGCCACAGGTCCAAATGCCTGGAAGTATTCAAAGAGCTCTGCAGAATCCACATCCCTGGGAAAACCACTGACAAACACACTCCGAAGGCCCTGGGCCTTTCTGGCAGCTCGAAGTTCTACCAGATGCCGGTGCTTCCGGCCTCCCAAGTGGGCATCTAGGCTGGGTCCTGCAGAGATGAGAGGGAGACAAAAACATCTAGGTTACTCTTCAGTGTACCCTGAACCACCACTCTGTGCCTACTTAAATTCCAGTGATCCTCCAAGCCACAAAAGTATAGCCTTTGAAGCACTCCAAGGCTGAGGCAGGAGGGTCGCCTCAAGTTCTAGGCCAGCCTGAACTACATAGCAAGATCCTGTCTCAAAAAACAAAATGAAACAAAAAAAAAAGTGTTACCTTTGACTATACAAAGTCCTGATTCCTTCTACCCTTGACATTCTTGGGCATGTCTACAGAATACATGCTCTAAGTCATTTGCAGAATAGCATACTCTTAAGTAGTTATTTTCTTTCTTTTTAAAATTATTTTAATTTGAGACAGAGTATAGTTAAATTACTAAGTTGCCCAGGATGGGCTTGAATTTGTAGCCCTCCTACCTCAGCCTCCATTGTGCTGGAATTATGGGTGTGTGCTGTGACTGCTGACTCCATACACACACTAGAAATTGAACCCAGGGGAACTCTACCACTGAGCTACATCCCCAGCCCTTATTTTGTATTCTGATGAAGTAAATTGCCCGGACTGACCCCAAATTTGTGATCCTCCTGGATCAGCCTCCTAAACAGCTGGGATTATAAGCTTGTACCAGGGCACTCAGCTCAAGTTGTTCTTAAATCATCCACATGCATTACATTGCTAAGCATGGCGGCACAGGCCTCAAACCCCAGCTACTTGGAGCCTGAAGCAGAATCAAAACTTTGAATTCAATGTGGGCAACTTAAGACTGTCTCAAGATAAAGTTTTTAGAAAGGTCTGGGGATATAGCTCAGTGGTAGAACACTTGCCCGGCATGTACAAGGCTCTGAATTCAAACCCCAATACCGAAAAAGGAAAATGAATAGACATAGATATCTGCTAGGTAGAGCAACACCTGCAGATTATAAAGAAATCAACAGAAGGGCCAAGGATTTAGCTCAGTGGTGCCACTGCCTGCCTCACAAGCACAAGGTCCTAAGTTTGATTCCTGGTACTTCCAATTTGGGCCACGGATGTAGCTCAGAGGCACAGCACCTGCTGGGCAAGCGCAAGGCCCTGAATTGATTACCAGTACCAAAAACAATGCCAATAAGTAAGTAAATAAATAAACAGGTAACTTATCTAGATCATACAGAAATCTCAGGACCTGGATAATTCTCAATGACCAGCCATGGGTAGAATATAGTAACTGCAAGCATGGGATCTAAAGTTGCTCTGAGTTCAAACCCAGTTTTATCAAGCTTTGTGAGACCTTGGGCAAGTTGCTTAATTTCTCTGTACATCCATTTCTTCTGACTTAAACGTAGATACCTTCCACATAGTCATAAACATTTAGATCAACTGGCAGAGTCTGGTACGTAGCAAATGAGGTCAATTTCACTGCTAGTATTATTTGCATTATCAACTGCCTGGTGTCACCAAAGTATTAAAGATTTGATTTCAGCTTGCCCTACTGAATAAGGACAGTGCCATTCACGGAGAAACGGAACGGAAGACCCTATTTAGAGAAGACTGGGATTCCAGCTTCAGAAGTGAAATTTGAGGTTTTGTGGAGCTCCTTGAACTTCCAGATGAGGACCAACCAAGCCCACTTCCCAAACCCATTCTCTGTCTTCTCGTGGGCACGTTCTACTCCTTGCCACGCGGTTTCACCCATCCTGGCCCCTGGGGAAATCCTGCAGGGATTCCCGACTCCGCCCTCTGCGACCGCAGCTTTCATCAGCCAGACGAGGGCAATTGCATCCCTGAACCACCCCCACCCCCGGGCCAGCAAAGCACAGGCCTGGAACAGGAGCCCACAGGAGATGGCTATGGGGAAATGAATCACGGAGATTTCGTCGTGGATATTCTGTATAGCGGGAGGGTGCAGATGGCGGGACGTCCCCGTTCTGCCGTCCCCTCCGACGTGCAGTGAGAACGAAGGTGAGCGGCCCCGTCAGGATTTAACACGAACTATGCTATACAAGCACCAGACGAACGCCCCCAACCGCCCTTCACTAGCCACCGCTTACGGTTGGCTGTAGTAACGTGGCAGAGGCAGCAGCGGAAACCCCCACACGGTAGCGATTCGACATCAGAATCCACCGCAGCCATGGCGACTCTCAGGCAAGAACCAAAGAAAACCACCTCTACGTCTGCCGGAACTCTCTCCTGAAGACCGACGCTCTCGGAAGCAACTTCCGCCAGACCTACAGGAAGTGACGCAAGTCCACCAATCGCGAGGACGCCCCCCTCCCGTCCCAGGAAACCCAGCTCCCTTAATTCAGAGTTCCGTGTCCCGCCCGAAACGCTTATTTTACCTGTAGTGTCCCTCTTGCGGGGCTGGGCGCTTTCCTGCGTTGATTGGCCCAAAGCGTCCTGAATATTCATGAGGCAGCTACAGAGGCGCGCCGGGTGGGGCTCGAGCCACCTCCGTGACAGCGGAGTGGAGGCCTTCGCTGAGCCTACCCGCGCGGACCCCTGGACCGATCGCTGCCCCTGCGAGAGGCACCGTGACCCGGGAGTCCCATGATGCAGGCTGCAGCGGGGTGGAGGGCGTGGGGCTGAGAGCCGCCCACCCAGGGAACAGCCCTGGCTGTGGCTGACAGCACCCATGCAGCCCCAGGGCGGAGGAGCAGGGCTGGCTGGGCTTCTCAAGGGCGCCCCCTTGGGCATCCACAGGCAGGAGAGGACTGCAGAACTTGGGCCACACACCCCAAGGGGGCGACAATCTGCCCCACTGCCAGCATCCTGGTTCCCCAACAGCCAGCATCTCCCACTACATCCCCGCCCAGACGAAGCTTGGGCTCCAGCACTCGTAGGTCTCAGGCGAGTGGGTCCTCACAGTGGCACAAGTCTGGAACCCACCCCTGTGGGAGGTGGAGGCAGGAGGACCAGTTTGAGCCTAGCCTGGGCAACTTTAGTAGACCTTATTTCCAAAAAGCCCTGGGTTCAATCCCCAGTACCAATGAGGGCAGGAAGCAGGCCACCTCACCCAGCCTAGTTTTTTCCGAGTACCTTTCTTGTCTGTCATTTGCGCTCCCTCTCAAAGACACCAACACATGCCCCACACCCACTCGTGGCAGAGAACAGCTGAGCCGGGAAAGGCTGAAGAAAACAGCTTTTTATTACTATAAGAACCAATTACAGAATCCGAGGTTAAAAAAAACAGACAAAAGATCTTTATTTCTGAGAATTGGCATACAAAAGGCGGAGGGGGGAAGGGGAGAGAGGAAAGAGCTAGCATGGGCTGGGGTTGGTGCCAGCTCAGGGACCTCAGATACCAATTAGCAAAGTCCGGACACCGGACAGGAAGAGAAACCCCCCAATTAGGAAAAAAACCAAGAAACATGGCAGTGCACGCCCCACCCCACCCCCAGCCAGGTACTACCACCTGAGAGCAGTCACACTTCCCCTCCTGTTCCCTTTCACAAAGGGAGTCAACATTTTTTAAAAAATTAAAAAACCTTCCCCCTGAAACTGTCCATGATAAGTGTGGAAGGTACCCTCCAAGTTAGGAACCCTCCAGGAGAGGCCAGGTGCCCCAGAGGGCAAGCTCAGCTGCCGTAGGCCACACCCAGGGAGAAGAAAGGAGGGACTTAAGGCCAGGGGCACCTGACCCCCATGGGCACTGCCCCCTAAAGGGAAGGTGGAGGTCTGTCCAGCTCACACCCGCTTGCCTCCCTGGCCCTCACTGCTCAGTCCTCCAGGACAATGGGCTCATTGGTGCTGGACGGATGTGAGGGTGCAGGCAGAGGGACAGGGGGCCGCACAGCCATTAGTGCTGGTTTCACCTTCAGAGGAAGGTTGGGCCTCCGGGCAGCCCGCCGCATCTCCAGGTGGGTTAGAGCCTTCCGTAAGGCCCTGCACAGAGAGCAGGACAAGTAGAAGAGGTGCAAAGAATCCTGGGATCCCCAGGGTAGCCTGACACTCTGTGCTGCAGTTCACCTCTAGAGCACCCTTTCCCAGAATCCCATTCCACTCCACACCAGTGCTCCCCACCCACTAATGCACTGGCAGCCTCTGCCCCTGCCTGGGTGGATACCCTACCTGGTATCCTTTGTGGCCACAAACACCACAGGATTGGGGGCATCTGCTGGGTTTAGTTTCTGACGCTTGGCTGCTGGCTGTGAGCCTGAGCGGATCCCTGAGGCCAGAGGCCTTCCATTGGCAGAGAAAGGGACCCCTGCTCCTGCCATCTGGAAAAGGACAGGGTAACTCAGTGAGGGACAACCTGGGACTCCTAACACAAGCAAAAGCCCACCCAGCCTGGCCAGCCCTCCTCAACAGCCAACTCACCGTCTCGTAGGCCCTCTTTACCATGATGCCCCCCAGGCCCCGGTTCTGGGTCAGCTGGTTTCTATTGATTGGGATCTTGGTACCCCGAGGTGTTTTTGGTTTCAGAGGTGCCTGAGCCACTGTCAGCAAAAAAAAAATAAAACAATTTCCCACCTCTTTCCTACAGTCTCCCTTTCTTGCTTCCATTTTTTTCCTCAGCCAGGAGTTTTACCTGGACATGCTCAAATGTATGGGGAAAGGCTCTGGAAGCAATTGCCAGTGTTCACACGTGTGACAATACACAACCAGGCAACAGCCCCAAGTAAACATTATTGAGCTAAAGATGTAGCTCAGTGGTACAGTGCTTGTCTAGATGTGAAAAGCTCTGGGTTCAATCTCCAGCATCAGCAAAAAACAAACAAAAAACCAGCTGGGCATGGAAGCCCACACCTGTAATTCCAGTACACAAGAGGCTGAGGCAGAAGGATTGCTATGCATTCAAAGTCAGCCCAAACTACAAAGTGAAAAAGACAAAGAAACCACCCACCACCACCACTGCAGGAGCAGTTTTGTAGACTAAATTACATGTCTTTGGACTCAGGACATGGGAAGGTTCTTGAGAAACAGAACCAGGAGCCCAACACACCCAAACCAGCTGCCCATTCAGTACCCAGATCCTTGACAATCGTGGCCAGGGGTAGCCGAACCAGAGGGTGAATCTTCAGGGGTGTCTTGGCAGCCTTTGGAAGGCGAATGGAGCCTGGAGGAAAGGAAGAAGCTTTTGAGGGGTTGTACCACTCCGGCTTCCTAAGGGCAGGACGGCATCTGATTTCCCACAGCTCCTACTGCCCCCGGCCCTTGCTGAGTCCTTACACTCTGCCTTGATGGCATTGGCATTGATAGGGGCATAGGGCCTCCGGGCAGCCCTCCTTGGCTGCAGGAGGTCCCTGCACATCCGCCTGGCGAGCCGGGTCAGCTTTGTGGTCTGAAGCAGGAATGTCTGCCTGTTCTTGGCCAGCAGCTTGGCCCGGTTGGCGCTGGTTGTGTAAGGAGAGAGACTTTGGGCTTCAGGTCTGGACAAATGACCCCTCGAGTGTGGCTCCTGGAGGAAGGGCACAGAGAACAGGGCCTGCAGTGGCACTGACGCACCCTTCTTTCTCCCACTCCCTGCAGAGGACTTGTTTCTGCCCGAACTTACTGACCCCAAACTTCTAGTTCCCACCCATCATGCCACCCCCAGCCCACCCAGAGCAGGTGTTCTGCTCAGCCTGATGTTCACCATCAGCTTGATCATGCTCTCCCCAGCCCTCCTCACTCCAATCCTTACTGTGGAGCCCCGAGCAGCCCCCTCAAGCTGGGTTGGGGTCTTCAGTCCCCCATACTTCTTCCAGTAGATCCAACAGGAAGCACAGAGACGGCACTGCATGTTGGGCGGGCCCCAGGCGTACCACTGGGCAGACTGTGTGGCTACAGGAGAGGGTGTCTGTCAGCGAGAAACCCACTCCCGAAGGCCCTGCACTCCAGCCCTTTGTCTTGGCCTGGAACTCACTGTGGCAGCTCTCACAGGTCAGACCCTTCTGGAATCCAGCTCCATTCATCCCAGGTTTTGAACCCACAGAAATGATCTGGTTAGGGTTTGGCTTAGTGCTAATAAAAAAAGTACAAGAAGAAACCAAGAAACCAGTCAAGAAAAAAAACTTTTCTTTTGCTTTGAGACAATGTCTCACTATGTAATGTATGTCGTATAGGCTGGCCTTGAATTCACTATGTACCTAGGCTGGCCTTGAACTCAGAGCGATCCTTCTGCCTCAGCCCGAGTGTTGGGATTACAGGCGTACGCCACCATGCCCAGCTTGGGAAAAGAACTAATTTCTAATTTTCCCCTTCCAGTGCTGGGCCCTGAACCAGGGGCCTCACACATGCTAAGCATGCACTTACCATGAGCCACACCCCCAGCGCCCAACTCCATCATTTTACTCTGTTCCCTGACACCCTGAGTTATGAAGGAAGGCAGAGGTTTGGGGTAGAAAAGGAAGATGAGGCAGTCTCCCCTCTCCAGAGACTCACTAGGTGGGGATGTAGACCTGCTTCAGTTTGCTGTCTGCTTCAGCAGCCTTCAATCTCTTCTGCAGGAAGAAGAGAAAAGATCAGTGTCTCTGCAGAGCAGGCAACACAGGCAGCCCTGGTGCAGCCCTCCAGCCCGACAAACCTGCTGAATGTACCGGTCTGTGGTCTTCCACATGTAGTAGAACTGAACTATGCTTGCCAGTGACTTCCAGGGCAGCTGAGTAGGACAAACAGTAGAAGAGTGAGGTGGCACCTGGCCCCAGTACAGGTCCCTTGATTGCTGTCTCTGCTGCCTCCCCTCTAGCCCCATGCACTTACAAAGTCCTGGCGAATGTCATTGAAATCTTTTCCATACTTCTCCAGAGCCTCCTCGAACAACATGGCCTCAGAGGCAGACCACTCCTCCATCTCGTCTCGACACAGCACCGGGCCCCCCTGGGGCACTAAGGTGGACATGGCTTTGGCCAGGTCATAGCCATTCCTCTGCAGCGTGTCCATGGCATGAAACTATAGAGGAGAGGAAGGAGCTGGCTGAGAACCCAAAGCCTGGGCACCACCAGCCTGCTGCCCTTTGAACACTACTACACTCCCAGGAACACGGTTCTCTCCTCTGTGCCAGGCGCTGCGGACCGCACAGCATCCCAAGCTCAGCTTTCCCAGGGGCTGCTCACCAGGGTGATATCTCGGGAGGCAGCAGCTGCACTCATGTGCAGGCTGGGCTGCCGGATGGAGCTGCTGCAGTCCAGGGCTCTTGCAAAGGTTCCTACAGCTCTGCAAGCAAGATCAGGAAGTCAGAAAAGGAAAAGCAAGCAAAAGTAGGCTGAGACTAACACCAAAGGGAAAGAGTGCCACTCATACGTGCCTGGGATGCGTAGGACTCAGAGCTACGTCCACAGTTCCCCAGCCCTCTCCCCATCCACCCACCCTCACCGGGCCACCACAAGGAACTGGTCGATCTGCCGGTCTGTGAGAGGGTTGTCTGGATCCCAGACCTTCAGCTCCATCTTCTGCTGATTCCGATTGTCCAGTTCTCCTGGGAAAAGGGAAACAGCATCACCAGGAAGAGGAAAGGACAAATAAGTAGCATCTGGTGCTCACGCTACCATTCTACCTTTCTCTCCACTTGTTCTCTATCATAATCAGACAGCACAACTCTCAGCATCTTCCCAACTGTCCCATCTGCCTCTGCCAGGCTCCCCAGTTCCCAGGCCAGCAGAGGCACAGCAGAGAACCTTGCAGACTTCTCTGTAGGACAGGGCATGCCAGCTACAGTAACCACATGTGAGACTATCCTGGGCATTTGACAGTCCGGCAGCCATACAACCTGTCCTGTTGTTTACCCTCTGCCAGGCGATCAGGAATCTCTGCTTGGTATTTGCAACCAACTCTAATCTCTCCTTGGTCAGCCAGCAGTGTCTTCTGTACTGGGTCGAACACCAGTGAGTAAAAAAAGCAATCCTGGGACGGGGAAGAGAGGAAGCGAACAATGCCGCACCCACATGGTGTGCAGACAGTGGACTACATTCAGGGTTCCCAAGGTGGGCATCTAACAATACAACCTCCCTGCTGCCCGCCCTGCCTTCCTCCCCCAACACCTGCTCACCTCCTTTTCCAGGTACTGGCTCAAGATATCTGTCTCATTCAGGAGGGTCACACTGCATTTCCCTCTGCAGGAAACATGCCAGGAAATTGGGTGAGCCCTCCTCCCCCACTGTCTCTCAGTGCACCAACATCTGCCAGGCATGTTGGGCCAAAGGGGGCCCCTACCTTATGTGGGTGGCTGGTAACGACTCGAACTGCCGAGACAGGAAGAGCTCCCGGTGCTTCAACTGATGCCTCTGTTGCTCTGACACCACTGGCTGCTTTGACTCCTCCTCAAACTCCCCTAAGACAAAGAGGAAGAGACCAAATCAGAATTTAATTGGGATAGAAAGGCAGCTTGTAGTAGGGCATGGTGGTGCACGCCTATAATCCCAGCCTCTGGAGGCTGAGGCAAGAGGATTGCCATGAATTTAAGGCTAGCCTGAACTACATAGCAAGACTCTGACTCAAAAAAAAAAGTGGGGGGGTCAGGGATTTAGTTCAGTGGTGCTGCCACGTGCCCAGGGTCCAGAGTTCGATCTCCAGTACCAAAAAATAAAAAATATAAAAGGTACCTTGGACACTAACCCAGGGAAAATGCTTTCTCTCTCTCTCCTGTTTTTTTCAGTACTAGGGATTGAACCCAGGGTCTCAGCATTGAGCTACAGCCCCAACCCTTTTTAAATTTTAAAACAGGGTCTCCCTGCTTGCTAGATTGCCTGGGCTGAGCCGGAATTTGCCATCCTCTTGCCTGAGCCTTCCAGAGTGCTGGGGTCCCAAGTGAGCACCACCACACCTGGCTGGCTTCTCATTTGGCCCAGGCATCTTGGCTTCACCAGCCTCCCCTCTTAACTCACAATCACTAATGCTCTTGGGGAAGAGCTGTGAGAGTACAAAGAGCACCACAGAAATACATCCCAGACCCAGCTGCACAGATACCACCACACTGGGCCCAGCAGGTTCCACACACTTGCTCTTTGTTGCTGAACCAGCCCGAGGTCTGGGAAACCAGTAAGATGAAAGATCACACAAGGTTGTACAAGTTCTTCTTTCTCGGTTTCAGAAAACTCTTTGCTCTAAACCATCATATGCAACCCTAACTATCCCTCCCCTTTCCACTTGGCTAATAGCTGCTGGGGCTTTCAAGGACAGTACCTTTAAGCCAGTGCCAACAGCTTCCTACCCCGGAACTGCTAGGTCCTGCATCCCTGGAGCAAAGGGTTAATCTGGTGGAGCGCCAACCCCAGTGGGGCGGGGGCAGAAGAGCCTCACTCAGCCCAGGCTCATTGGAGTATTGTTCCAACCTCAGGGAGCAGGGAGGGGGTGAGCCAGCTCCGCCCAAGCCTGTGTGCTCCTCGGGCCAGTGTGAGCCGGAAACCGATGCTAAACCAGGGGGACCACACCCCACACACTCCTCCCATTGGACAAGGCTAAGGTCAGCCCCTTCCAGATGGGGCTGGAAACCCCAAAGGCCAGGGATCTGTGTCGGTAAAGCCAGTTCATTAACCCCTTCCAGACCAAACTGGCCTGAAAAAAAATTTTCAGAAGAGGAAAAAGAAAACCTAAACAGGAAAGGATAAAAAGTAGTAAGGATAACTAAAGGAAAATTTTTAATAAGATTAGAATGTAAAAAAAATGAAAATGAAAGGAGTGGAGGGGGAAATGAGAAAGGTGGATAAGGAAACATTCCTGCCATCTTTCAACTTCCAAGAGTCTCTAAAATGTATTCCTACCTCATATACAAAATAATCTTGCTCTCCCACAGTGCAGCCTCTGCAGTACAATCTTTCTCTTCAGCTTGACCTTCTCATTGTCCCCTCTGATCCACCCCAAACTATCCACTCAAGTGTCCTTCTATGAAGTTCTTCCTCATCCCCTACCTAAGTTCCCTCCCTAAATCCATTCTATCCAGGTGAGCAGAGTGGCACACGACCGTAATCCTATCATCCAGAGGCTGAGGTAGGAGGATCGCCACAAATTCAAGGACAGTCTGGGGTAAACAGCAAAGCCGTACCTCAAAAAAAACCAGGTAAACCCATTCACTCTCTCTCTCTCTCCACAGAAACCATGCTCTGGCTCTCCTTAGCATCATCTGTCGACCCTGCTTCCAAGTCCAACGTGAGAAAACAAGCCTCCACCCCAAATTCACAACCCACACTGGGCAGTGTACCAGGGCAACACCTGCAGGAACAAGCCCAGGCCCAAACGGTGGAGAACCGGCTGAAGCGGCGGATACAGCAAGGGGAGAATGGGATGAAGATACTCACTGGCATTGCTATCTGCCAGGCTGTTGAGGCTGCTAGAAATGTCCCTTCGCCGGAAAAGACAGACCACCTTTGCTTCCACGTTTCCATTTGCAGTCTGCGGGGAGGGAGGCACGGTAAAGAACGCTGATCATTGGTAAATGGAAATGCACAGGGATTACCAACAGTCAACGCAATAAAAGAGCGCAAGAAACTACTAGTCAAGACTTAGGTTCCAAAACAGACTTCAAAGTCCCTTTCATCCGGCCCCAGGATCAGAGAGTAAAGTTCCCACTGAGCTCTCCGACGCCTTTCCAGGTGGCCAAGAATGAATGGCTTTGCATGGGGCAGGGAACAGGACCCAATCCTCCACCTGGGGAGAGACCTCAAGAAAGGAGCCCGCCCTGGGGAGCGGGGTCCCGCCGGCCCACCTTGTTGAGCTCCTCGATCCTCCGCACCAGATACGGGTTGCTGGAGGAGTTCTCGAAATAGACATAATCTGCGGGTGGGAGACCAGGATCAGAAAGCGGAGGGCCAGGTGCGAGGCCGCCCGCTGCCAGCTCAGACTCGGACCAGCACTCGGGGCGGCGGCTTCCGGAGACGGAGACTCGGCCCCGGC